TGTATACACACACACACACACACACACACACACACTGACACCTGTGCACACACTCCCATGAGTGTATACACACACACACACACACACACACACAGAGAGAGAGAGAGAGAGAGAGAGAGAGAGAGAGAGAGAGAGAGAGAGAGAGAGAGAGAGAGAGAGAGAGAGAGAGAGAGAGAGAGAGAGAGAGAGAGAGAGAGAGAGAGAGAGGAGAGAGAGAGACTAAATGAATAAGAAAACAAACAGGAAAAACATACCATTAATAGAATTAAAACTAAGATGAAATAGCAGATTACAACAAATTGTTAGACTTCAGAATGAAGAATGTTCCCAGAGATAAAGGAGGGTGCAACTGAAGGATAAAATGGCTAGTTCACCAAGAAGAAATAAGCACCCTAAAAGTGGGTAGCAATGGTAACAAAAGGCATCAAAATGTTGATGGACCTGAATACAAGAATATGAAAAAGTCACAGTGTCAGTTGGAGACCCCACATCTCCTCCCTCGATGATCAACAGGACAAGCATACAGACAGTCAGAGGACAAGGAGGACCCGGATCACACTGCCAGGGAATCTGACCTCCCTGAAACGTTAGCAGTGACAGAGTTCACCTTCCTTTCAAGAACATGACCTAGCTGATTATATCTGAGGACATAAAAGAAATCATCAACATCATATGTTTTCTAACCTGAAACCAGCAACTGTAGGTGCTGTCCAGGGCCTGGGGGATGGATGAAGGGAATAAAGAAGCTTTTCAAAGGCTTGATCTTTCACCATTGTTATGAGCACACCTTTGTCAAAATCCACAGAGCTGTGACTCAAAGGATAATGCTACTGCATAAAAACAGTATCTAAAGCCTGACTAAATTTATCTAAATAAAAATTGGAGACAAGCTTCTGATAAAATGATGTGAAATATAACATTATGGCTTATATGAAATGCAAGATGTTAAACATGTGTAAGACTAAAAATGTGTCCTTAAATACCAAAGTGGAGGCTGGTGGGTACAGCTGTGTTCTTTTCTGGTCCTTTACATTAATTCTGTACATTCAGAATGTTCAAGGATAACATAAAATCACTTGCGTGGAAATTTTATATGATTATTTCAAGTGAGAGTGATCTGTTTTGTCATTATATCATTTTTATCCCCAGAGGCAGATACAGAGAGTAGATCCGTAATATAACTGCTTAGAGTTTGTGCCTGGCAGACCACACTCACGTGTAACAATTCACCTCTTAAGAGTGAGTCCAGTGTGTCACAGGGAACACTATGCAGATAGAGATAAGAATCGTGAAGGAAATTTCATCTCTCATTCCAAAAATGGTGTCAAATATGTCAAGTCACCCCCCCCTTTAGCTTTGGGACACTAAAACAACAAATCTTGCTGTTTTCGTTTTCATTCAAAGGATGGGATGCCATGTCTCTGTTCTGTTAGCCTTGTGTTCAATGTAAAGAACAAACAAATGAGGCCAGTTTCCCCAGCTTTAGGAATCAAAATCATGTTGCCCCTTGACCTCAATGCAAGGGAAATGCAGAAAGTTGACATTCCCAGAGAATATTCACACTTAAAGGAGCTGAGGCCCAAACTCCATCTCCATCAGTTATTCAGGACCTTGGACAGGTTTCACCACCCGACATTCTCAACCCCCAGACATAGATTCCAGCCTGTAAGATATGGATCATAACAGTGTCCACCTCACTCCCCAATCCTCTCTGGAACCTAGATTTCTCCTACTTATTCTCCCTGCCTGGCAGCCCTACCTATCCTGCCTGGCTATTGGCCATCCAGCTCTTCATTAGACCAAGCAGGTGCTTGGGGCAGGCAAATTAACACAGCTTTACAGAGTGAAACAAATGCAACATAAAAGAATGCAACACATCTTTGCATCATTAAATAAATGTTCCTCAGCATAAACAAATGTAACAGTCTTAAACTAAAATTCCACAACAGAACTGTCTCCCCAAAACTGTCCTCTGACCTCCACATATAAGCCAGAGACAGAGAGAGAGAGACAGCCACCAGTAAGCAGCATTCCTCAGTGGTTTCTACTTGAGATTCTGTCCTGACTTCCCTCAGTGACAGACTGCTACTTGAAATTGTTAAGTTGAAAAGAATCCTTTCTTCCCAAGTTGCTGTCAGTCAGAGTGGCTTATCGCATCAACAGGAATGCAACTAGAACACCCCAGTGAGCCATGGGAGGAGGAAAGAACTGCATTGGGCCGCTAGACCAGGAAAAGAGGCCAGAGGGCAAACTTAGAACATTCCTACAATAGACAGTTTTGAGCGGTTAAAAAAAAAAGGAAAAAATGTATAAACTACAGAATGAGACCCGATCTTTAGAAAATCAGAAAGGGGGAAGCATGTTTAGCAATTTATCAATTAACCCTGAGACTCCTATTTTAAAACTATTCACACATAATACCACAAGGGCTGATCTTTGCATGCTCCAGAGAAAGATGTCCTGAGAATTTTCAGATCCATAAATAATGGGGCTGATTAAAAATAGGTCACTCAAATCAATCTAATTGTGTTCTATTTTTGATGTAAATTCTTCCATTGATTTTTAAAATGTGTAGCCCATTAAAACACATTAATTGTGACCCTAAGAATGCATTTGTGTTACAGAAAACCCAAGGTGAAGAAGAAAAAAATTTCCCACCACTTGAAGGTAGAGCAGAAATATCACCAAAGCCTTAGCCCTATTTTTTCAGGGAAAAAAACACTTCTGGGTAAGACTGGAGAGGTGAGGTGCCATGATGATAAAACATGGCTCAGTTGCATGGAGACAGGTTTAGGATGTCTGGAGCCTTATGTGTCTCACTGGGATAAAAATATTCTAATTTTGTATAACCAGAGGAAAAACAAGTGATTGTTTGTCTGTGTTCTTTTATTCCATGAATAACACAGCCTCACATTGCATAACAGGCACCCATTCTGGAAAATGTGGCCAGAGAAAGCTAATATTAAAAATATTCAATAAGCCAAACAGTTTGTAACAAAAAAATATTCTATTATGCCATCATTGGTCTGAATATATCATGGAGATTTTCCTAAATGCACACTCAAGTTGTGAAAACATACACATTTTTCAAAGATTTATTATATTTAATTATGTGTAGGCAGGCATCTACACATGAGTGTGGGTACATGTTGGGGTCAGAAAATCCTCTGGAACTGGAGTTACTGGTGTTTGTGAGCAGCCTGACAAAGGCACCAGGAACTGAACGTGGTTCCTCTGCAAGAGGTGCACACAGTCTTAACTGCTGAGCCATCTCTCCAGACCCATCCAGACATTTGAAAAGTACAGGCATATAATGTATATGTTTAGAACTTACGGTTAAGACTTAAATGCCATATTCACTTTAGATACCATTAAAACTTAATGGAACAGGCCAGGCGTTGGTGGCACACGCCTTTAATCCCAGCACTTGGGAGGCAGAGGCAGGCGAATCTCTGTGAGTTCGAGGCCAGCCTGGTCCTGTCTCGAAAAAAAAACAAAAACAAACAAACAAATAAACCAAAACAGAACAAAAACTTAATGGAACATAGATGGTATGCAACTAAGTTACCCAGCACCCTCAGAGTATTGAACATGTGGTTAGTGCTTCATAAATATCCCTAGGCTAAACCCCTGTCAACATTTTTAATTGCTTAGATTTCAAAATGTGGCTTCATGACATCAAAGCACAAACATGTTTTTTTAAAGATTTATTTATTATGTATACAGTGTTCTGCCAGCATGTATGCCTGTATATACTTAATATTTAACCTTCACGACCAGATTTCACATCACTATATTTGAAAACTCCTTCAATAATTAGCAAAATATGGCTTGTAAATAGCATCAAATATTTTAAAACTATTTTTATTAATAAAATATAGCAGATCCTTGAATTGTATATATCTTCACTAATATAAAAACATTTAGGACAAAAGTATCTGTTCTGTTTCATTTATGTAATTTCTTTACTTGATTTTCCTCAAAATTATCTGTGATAAATACCTAGCAAAAACAGCAAGTTAAGGAAGGAAAGATTTATATTAGCTTTCAGTTCAGAGAAATTCAGCTCACGGCGACGGGGAAGACACGGAGGCACTGGGGGGCCGAATGCTGTGTCTGGTTGACCCCCTTTGCACTCAAACAGCACAGCCTTCGCATCCCCCCATGGGCCAGGGTCACGCTGGCAGTTTGGATGGTGCAGCCCCCATCAGTAAACAACGCCAAGAGAGTCAGACAACTGAGGGCCCTAAGCTAAGCATCTTGAAAGCGACTTGATAGCCTCTCTCTGTGCCTGCAGCAAATACATTGTGCGGACATCCACAGCCCATGCGCCTGCCAGAGCCTCTTCCCTCTGCAGCTTCAACAGGACAGCGTGGGAAGATTATGGTGCAGGTCCTCAGTAATGATTCCGTTATCACCCACTTTGAGATACTCACACCAACACAAGCACACAAATGCAACTGTTATGAAGACAGAGTAAAACCATCCTAAACTAGGGTTCAATCCCCCAACCCCACAAGAAGACAAAATCCAAAAAAACTTATGTGAAACATTTCTAAAATGTCAACCAAAGTAAATGCCCTCATAAAATGGACACCTAATTACCAGTCCTCTCAAGAAACAGTATATAATCAGAAATTGGAAAGGGAGTTGATCAAAACCCTAGGATAAAAACCATAGATTTTGTCACATTCATAGTATCTGTCAGCACCTTTAAACGTGCCTTTTGTTGGAATTTATGAACCCTGGCTTTCCTGACTCCTTTCGGGACAGTTATTTGGCGCTGTCTTTCTCTCAGCCCTTCCAAGCTGGCGACCCAAAAGGATGGGGACAGGGACCGCCTCCGGGACCCCGCGGGGACACGCAGGCAATTCGTCCAGGCGCCTCTAGAGGGCGCGGGAGTGCCTCATGGGGACGCAATGCGCATGTTCCACCCTCTCCGGCTGCCCTCCCTCCTTCGTTTCCGCCGGAAGCGCTCCCTGGGAGAGGCGACCGGAAGCACAGGCAGGATCGGTTGCGTAAATACGTTTGAAAGGCCCTATCAGCGCGACGGGCGGCCCGTTTGATCTGTGCGCCGGCTTGGACTGTGCGGATTCCAGGCTGTGAGCGGCCTGCGCCATGGATCCTAAAGACCAGCCGGATAACAGGCTGCTGCGGCATCTCCAGGAAAGCCGGAACCGTTTCCAGACGTTCATGCATCGGCTGATAGCGAAGGTGGGCTGGGCTGGGCTGGCCGAGG